TTTGGACTTGAGGAATTGCAGACTTTCACCTATTGCATTGCAGGCCTGCAGGCTTCGCATTTGTGAAGTCTGGCTCACAAATGCAAAGGCCTTGTCGCAAATGCGAACAATGGCCCAGGCCAGCTACCTCTCAATTACGAGGAAATCTATCGCAAATGTGATGCCTCCCCTCTTAGCCAGTCGTCGCAAATGCGACACATTCTTCGCAATTCCCAACTTAGCAGAAGTCTGGGTTCGCAATTGCTAACCCTGGTCGCAATTCCCATATCTGCAACCTACAATTTTATAACTTAGCCAAAAATCTCTCATTTTTCACACTCTTTCAATACCAAAACACTCTTGGGCGATTTTTCAAAGACAACTCTTCTTCCAAATCGATTGTAAGTCAATTGTAACTCGTTTTCTTCAATCATTAACATCTTTTCACATGATTCAACTCAAAATCAATGATTTTCATGGGGGAATTGACTGTTTTGGGTAGAACCTAGGTTTTTCAAAAATTGGAAATTTGGACCTCAATTTGAGATCCGATTTCAAAACAAATTATATATTTGAGTTCGTGGGGGAATGGGTAATCAGGTTTTGGTTCGAACCTCGGGTTTTGACCATGTGGGCCCAGGTACAATTTTTGACTTTTTGGGTAAAACTTTGACAAACTTATTTTAATGCATTAGAATTGATTCATTTAGCATTTGTTGATGTAATTAAGTAACTTGTGGCTAGATACGAACGAATTGGTGGTGGAATCAAGAGGTAAAGCGATAGTAGAGACTTGAATTGTGTTTGTGATATCGAGGTAAGTGTTTGGTCTAACCTTAGCTTGAGGGATTGGGAGTTGTGTCCAATTTGTTATGTGTTAATTGTGGAGTACGACGTATAGGCATGGTGACGAGTATCTATACGTCGGTGTCAAGCATGCCCATGAGTCTTGTATTGTAATTGTTATGCCTCCGTTGTGGTTTATTGAGCTTCACATGTTATTATCATTATTCTTCCCTTGCCGGGATGCCATTATTATTATTGTTCCCTTGCCGGGATGTTAGTATCATTATTGTTCCCTTGTCGGGATGTTGTCTTGATATTATTGTTCCCTTGCCCTGATGTTGTTGAAATATAATTGTTCTCTTGCCGGAATTCTTTTGTGATTGTTGTTGATTTGTAAATGGGATCGGTTGGCACGCCGCCACGAAAATATATGAAATGGGAGCGGGTAACATGCTGCAACAAGATTTATGAAATGGGAGCGGGTTGCACGCCTGCAACAAGATATATGAAATGGGAGCGGGTTGCACGCATGCAACGAGATATGTGAAATAGGAGCGGGTTGCACGCCTGCAACGAGATATGTGAAATGAGATCGGGCTGCACGCCTGCAACGTGATATATGAAATGGGATCGGGTTGCACGCTAGCAACAAGATGTGAAATGAAAGTGAATTCTGCATTTGTTTTCCTTATCCCTGTTAGTAATTGGATTTGGTTTCTTTATATTCCTCTTGATATTCTGTTGTTATTTGTTATTCCCCGAAGCATGTTTCCCCCTCCCATCTTTAACTGTAATTATCTGCTTTTATATTTCTGTTGTATATGAGTTAACTGCACATGTTTATTTGGTAGTCTGGTCCTAGCCTCGTCACTACTTCGCCGAGGTTAGGCTAGGCACTTACCAACACATGTGGTCGGTTGTGCTGATACTACACTCTGTACTCTTTTGTGCAGATCCCAGTGTTGTAGACTTCGGACTGCAGTGAGGTTGCTGCCGTCAGTCCAACAGGCGACCCGAAGTAGTTCTGCAGGCGTTTGCGGGCCTTGGCATCACCTCCTATCTTTCTTTATCATGTTTCCTTTACTCAATTCAGAAAATAGTGTATATTTTATCTTTCAGACTTTGTATGTAGTATTCGTAGACCGTCTGTGAAACTGTGACACCAAATTTTAGGTAGAGCTGTATTTAGACTTTCGCAGTTTGTATTAAGATTAATTATCAGATTTTGTCTTCTACTTAATTATTTTCGCTAATTGCATGATACCTACTCATCACTGATAATGGTTTAAAACTGAAAAAGGTTAAGTAATTAGAATAACTTGGTTTGCCTAGCTTTCACCAATAGGCGCCATCACGGCTCTCGAGGGTGGAAAATCCGGGTCGTAACATCATTCGTATATTGATAGCAACCATATAATTACGTTTAATATGGTTCCACTAGTCAATTGACACTAATCGTTATATTTTGGATATAATTAGCAATTTAATTATGAAATATAAATAATAAGTAGATATTGATGTTAGTTAATTACATTATTGCGCTTTATATATATAGTGGGTTCAATAATTGGTGCACCTTGTTGTGCAAAATAAAGTTACAATTAATGCTCATTATTCTATCTTTTGATTTCAGCTATCTCTGTTGTTTTTTTAGCCTTTGTCTTCCTTCTCTTTCTCTCTATGCTACTTTTTTAAGTTTTAACATTGCTATAACTTTTTTAAGGTGATGATTACAACGTAGACTATCAATATTAAATATGCTGACTATGTTTCCTTTCACAAAATGCATGCTGTGCTACTCTTTGTGCTTTACATCTAAATTTAAGAATTAAAAAAATTCATGAATTTTAATTTCTTGAATGGTCATGAAAATAGTATAAAAAATAAAAATTTCTTGAATTTTTTTTAATATTATCAGACATTATAGAGCATGTTGATGTAAAAAATGAAAAAAGTGGCGTATAAATTAAGACAGATGAAGTTTCGAGAGCTCAAGAGTGGCCTAGACGACGACTGTTGCAAGTGATAATTTCCGGGGGGGGGGGGGGGGGGGGGAAGTACACAAACAATCATTTTTAGAGATGCTATTAGAGGTGCTCATAAAAACTCGAAAAATCGAATCAAACCGAAAACCAAATCAAACTGATAAAAAAACGAAACTTTTTGGTTTGGTTTGATTTTAGTTTTGAATTTTAAAAACCGATCAAATTTAGTTTGGTTTTGGTTTTAATCAGAAAAAATCGGAAAAAACCCGAACCAAAATTTTAATGGTATTATTACACCTCTATATATGTATATTTTTATACAAAATTTCAAAATTTTAATGGTAAATGTTAATAGTTTGCACTTTTAGTATAGTTCTTTACCTTTACATTCTAATTTGATTGATAATTTTCTTTTGTTAAGTGTAAGAATCCATTTCGTGTTAAAAATAATATATTTTTAATTAAGTCCTTAAATTATTCATCACTATTTGATTCAATTATCATCAATATATCTTGGTAAATAGTAGATTTCTCAAAGGGCAATTGATTTGATAGTGTTACGTTGAAAATATAGTCGTCGGAATATGTGTTTGGTAATGTATGTCTTATATTTAAGAAAAAACCGACAAATAACCGAAAACCCGACAAAACCCGACATAAACCGAATCGAGAAAAAACCGACTTAATTGGTTTGGTTTGGTTCTAATATATGAAAAAACGACTTACTTGGTTTGGTTTCTTTTAAGGGAAAAATCGATCCAAACCGAACCATGAACACCCCTAGCTGCTATTTAGGGATTAGTTAGTACTTATTTTGTCTTGAAAGTTTGAACTAAAAATCCTAATTTCATCACAATTTAAGTATTTGTGTCCTGAAAAATTCAACAGAAAAACTGAAATTCAGGACGCATTGACTAATTCCTAAATAACAGCCTTTAAAGTGGCTACTTGATATCATTTCTATGAAATTTCCCTTTAGGCAGGGGCGGAGCTAGCATAACACTTGCGGGTCGGCCGAACCCGGTAACTTTGGTCCAAGACCTGTATTTGCCTTAAAAAATTCATTGAATATGTATAAATTATTAATTTAGAACCCACTAACATAAACGAATTAGAATCCCGAACCTACAAGTTTTAAATTGTAGCTCCGCCTCCGCCTTTAGGAAATTCCAATTGTTTGGGCATGTATGGTAGCGACCAAAAGAAAAAGATTTTTTTCTTCTTATATATACTATCTTTAAGGCCTCACACTGAAGTGGTTCAAACATGAGAGGGCCAGAATTGAAATGCTGAACTGATACAAGGCTTCCTGGTTTATACTATTTGGTTCAATCCAATGAACAGAATTTGGATCACAGCATTTTATGGATAGATTTAATGCAGAGTAATGTCAATGCTCTAATCCTTTCAGAATAAATTAACTTTTGGAAATGTGACTATTGCAGTCTCCCTTTCCAAAATAAATTACAGTAACTACTGCATTTATATACTTATGTATTCCGTAGATTCCAGATCTTTAAGGCATATAACATGCCTATTTTCTAGATGCCTGTATGTGTGGACAACACCATTTGCTTTTACTGTCCTATTACCTTGTTGGTGCTATTGTTCGTTTCTTGCTTCCTTTTCTGTTCTTGAGCCGAGGATTTATTGGAAACAACTTCTCTATCTTCATAAGCTAGGGGTAAGGTTTGTGTATACATAACCCTCCCCAGACTCCAATTGTGGAATTTTACTGGGTTTGTTATTGTTGTTGTATATGTGTGGACATGAAGATTAAGTAGTAACAGGGACATTGATTTGTGTACCTGTTAACAGTAGCGGAAGTCTTGGAGAACTTGCTTTGATCAATTGCTCAAGTCCGACTTCGTCTCTCTTGGAAACGAAATACTTTTCACAAACCAGATGTCTTCTTCTTTGTTTTGGTGTGTTTCTATCTTTATAGGGAGAATTGCACAGAGTATTAATCTCTGAAGAAGGAGGGCCAAAATTATATAGAGAAGGGAAGTTGTCCGAGAAAAAACCACCGAAAAACTAATCCACGCTGATCCCACACTCCCACTTTCTTTGTAACGTGCAGTAGTTTTATTTTTTTAGGAGTTAAACCTTCCCCAGGTAACTTCCTCTAATCATATCTCCTTTACAACGGCCGGGTTAGTCCATATGGGCGCCCCGAACCCAATATCCAACAGGACAACTATGTTCCTATGATGATATTATTTCAAGAATCTTGACATGGCATGCTAAATATAATTTATATCATCAGTATCCCCATATATAACTTAAACAATTCCAACAAAAGACAACTTGAAAGTTGTTCAAATAATATGTTATTTACTAGGCTACAAACCTTCTGCATATTGCTGCAGAATACAAAGGACATATTTATGGAACTCAGCCTCTATGTCAAACCACAAACAGTATAAGCAAAGACAACAGCAACCAGATACATAATGTATCCTGCGTATTCTATATACGCTTGCTGTATCCTGCGTATTCTATATACGCTTGCTGCCAGGAAGATCGATCCACTGAAGTTGGAGTTCGACCTCTCCACATTCCACATTTCTCAATCTGAGGCACATATCTTGCACAACTTTGTTATCTTGCCATACAACTTTAGTCTCTTCCGACAGACAGTTTGACCTGCACGGCGTTACTCTTGAGATTACTGTGCCACATGGGAGGCCATCTAAGTTCATCTTCAGAGCATCTAAAAATGGTTTGATCTCAAATTCTGCATCTCCCATTTTGTCATCCATGCTGAACATATCGTGATCGTATACAGTCTAGAGGCAAAGATAAATGCAAAATCAGAATAATTGAAGTGATAAAGGATCATCTCAGAGCATTCCTAAAAGGCTTATTAGACAAGGAACATTATACTCTACAGAAAAGATAGGTTTTATCGTTTACTATCACCAGCAAATAAGAAACTTTACCAGCTTAACAGGAAGATTTGGATCTGAAACAGAAAGGGTCAGATCTTCATTCCACTCAGGGTTAACATCCTTGTTTATAACTCGCGTCTTCAGTTTCTGTGTTCAAATTGTAAACATATGCAAGTTAAAAGTTGGCGCAAGAACAATTATAGAGACTATAAAAAAAAGGAAAGAATTTGCAATTAAATGCCACATTGCAAGTTACTTATCAATCATGTCCCAAACAGTTTGAGATTTTGTGAATCTACTCATAAGGATGAACGAAAATAAGTACTACATATAGGTATCCTCTGATTTTGCCTTGCTACAACGATAGCTACGTTAGAGAAATGATACCGAAAAGGAACGATAATAATATACTGCAATAATATTATTTGTGAGCGGAAATACACCAACTGGCTTGAGTCGTGCTAGGCACCGTCCTAAGAAATTATTTCAGCAGTGTGAAATATTTCTCCAGGATTAAACAAGCTTACCTCTATTTTATTTAGAGGATTCAGGAATCAGCAAAATTAAATATTATACAAATCCAGCTAGTAGGAAAAAAAACAACTAATGTATAATGTTAATTGAATATTATAGAAAAGGAATTAGAAGGAAGAAGAGAGAGACGTATGAGAAGGATTTCTGATGATTGAAATTGGCTTAAGGGAAGACCCTTTTATAGGCAAAAAAGTGTAAGGCTTTTCTTGTCATTTGTCAAGTATGATTGTCAAGACTTGCATGCATCTTGCCACATGGATGACCATTTGTCCACTTTACTTGCATGCATCTTACCGTCCACCTTTTTGGAAATATCACAATAGTTCTCCCATATATTTTCAAAAAATTCATAAAAGAGGAGTAAGGTTTGCTGGATTTGTATGGTCCAAATGCAATATGTTTGGTGTCTTCTGGACTATGAACCAAACTTAGATCAATAAAATTTAACTCACAGAATTACTGGTGAAATATAGTATTTCTATGAACCAATAACTCTTATTATAAGTCAGAGATTTTATCAATCACATTTCGACCCTTGGTAATTTTGTTGTTCAACGCGGTTTTGCACCTAATAGGCCATGCACATGCCTCGTTATTCATAAGAGCTCTAGAGACTAGGCCAAAATCTCATAGGAGCGGCCTACTCCACTCTCATATAGGTGAATTCATCAAGTGTATACTGCTTTTAAATACACCATTCATAAGGACTATGAATTTCATTAAGAGTTATAACTCAGCCTCTCAATTAGTAGCAGTCAAGCACTCTCTTTTAGTGCTTCAGTGCCAATATCGACTTGTTATTACCCATATGAACCTACTTTATGGGATCTCCAATCACATAGGTTGGATTTCCATCTCTATTGACAACATATCGGCCTTAACCCCATCTCTTTTAAGGTTTGAAGAATTAATTTTCTTCCCACGGGTTTAGTCAGAGAATCGGCCAAATTTATCTCTGACTTCACATAGTCAATGAAAATTATTTCATCTCTCAACAGCTGTTTTATGGCATCATGTCTCAATTCCATGTGTCTACTTTTACAATTATAAGATTTATTCTTTGTAATAGCTATTGCCGCTTGACAATCACAATGCATAGACACATGAGACAATACGTCCTTTATTAAAGGGATATTAGCTAAGAAGTTTCTTAGCCACTCAGCCTCAGAAGTCAGAACCAGCTAACTCCAGAGCTATAAACTCTGATTCCATAGTCGATATCGTCTGTTTAGCTGATTTCCACGATATTTCACCACCACCAAGGGTGAATACATAACCACTAGTGAATTTTGTCTCATCTGAATCAGAGATCCAGTTTGCATCACTGTACCCTTCTAAAGTAGAAGGAAATCTACTACTCCCTCCGTTTCAATTTATGTGAACCCATTTGACTGGGCACGGAGTTTAAGAAAAGAGAGAAGATTTTGATCTTGTGGTGTAAAATGAGACACATATTTTTGTGTGGCTATAAATCATTGTGTAAAAGTAAATTATTTCCAAATAAGGAAAGAGGTCATTCTTTTTGACACAGACTAAAAAGGAAATATGCTCACATAAATTGAAACAGAGGGAGTATATAGGATACCATAATTCAAGGTTCCTCTCAAATATTTCATTAGTCTATCTAATGCAGACCAATGCTCTCTTTTGGGATTATGAGTATATCTACTCAGTCTACATACATCATAGGCTATATCAAGCCTTGTAAAATTCATTAAATGCATCAGACTCCCAATAATCTGAGCATATTTAGACTGAGCAACTGAGTCACTATTATTCTTTTTGAACTTAGACTTAGCATCAAAAGAAGTGCTCACAGATGTGATATTAAAATATTCAAACTTCTTAAGAAGTCTCTCAACATAATGTTCTTGTGACAACATTATGCCATCTTCACTCCTTATAACTTTAACTCACAATATCATATTTACTTCACCCAGATCTTTTATATCAAATTAGCAAACAAAAATAATTTAGCACTTTGCACAATATTTAAACTTGTACCAAATATAAGCATGTCATCAACATACAAACATATTATCACATAATCATTGTCTACCATTTTAGTATAAACACGTTTATCCACCTCAACTGAAGAAAAGCCGTCTCTCAGTAAGACTTGTTCAAATTTCTCATACCACTGTTTAGGAGCTTGTTTAAGGCCATAAAGAGATTTAATTAATTTACAAACTTTATTTTCTTGTCCAGGAATGACACAGCCTTCAGGTTGAACCATATAAATCTCTTCTTCTAAATCACCATTTAGAAAAGCAATTTTCACATCCATTTGGTGGATAAAAAGCTTACGGATTGAAGCTAAGACAATTAAAATTCGAGTAGAAGAAATCCTAGTCACTGGTGCAAATGTATCAAAATAATCTATATTTTGTTTTTGAGAAAAACCTTTTGCTACTAACCGAGCTTTATATTTATCTAAAGATCCATCAGGATTAAATTTCTTTTTGAAAATCCATTTACAACCAATAGGCTTTGCACCAGGAGGTAAATCAGTTAAAATCCATGTATTATTTTTCTTAATAGAATCAATTTCAACTTTTATTGTCTCTTTCCAATATTTAGCATCTGAAGAAGATATAGCTTCAAAATAATTTGATGGTTCATTATCGGCAAGAAAAGTTTGAAAATCATTTCCATATGAAAAATATTCTTTCCTAGGCCTTTTACTCCTTCTCAATTCCTCATTAGAGGTAATTCCACTATTTGTTTCAACAGGTGTATGAGAAATTTTATCAGATAGTGGAAAAATGTGTTCAAAGAATTCTACATTCTTTGTCTCAATTATAGTATTGCAATCACGTACATCACTTTTTAAAACAAGAAATCTATATGCAACACTATGTTCAGCATATCCAATAAGCATGCAATCAGCATTTTATGAACCTATTTTTCTCTTTTTAGGTTCAGGCAAAAGAACTTTATCAAGACACCCCACACTTTTAAATATTTCAAGTTAGGTTTATAGCCCCTCCACAATTCATACGGAGTTTTGTCAATTCTTTTATGTGGTATTCTATTTTGTAAGTGACATGCAGATAAAATAGCTTCACCCCACAAGTTATCAGGAGCATTAGAACTAACTAACATAGAGTTCATCATCTCTTTCAATGTTCTGTTTTTCCTTTCAGCTACTCCATTTGACTCAGGTGAATAAGGCGGAGTTACTTCATGAATTATTCCATTCTTTTCACAAAAATCATTTAAAGATATTCTCTACATCTATCTGATCTAATTCTCTTGATTTTTCTACTATGTTGATTTTCAACCTCAGTTTTATAAGAAATAAAAGCATTAAATGCATCATCTTTATTTCTAAGCAAATACAACTTAGTATATCTAGAAAAATCATCAATAAAAGTCACATAATATCTTTTACCACCTCTAGTCATAGTCTGCTTCAAGTCGCCTAAATCAGTGTGAATCAAGGATAACAATTCAGTTTCTCTATTTACGAAAAAACAGGTCCTTCTAGTACTTTCAGCTTCAGCATATATTTCACACTTGATAATATTGTTTGAGTCTAAACTAGATATTAATCCTAGCGATTGCATTTTCTTTATATACGCGACATTAACATGTCCTAGTCTAGCATGCCATAAAGAAATTGGCTCAACCATATAAGCAGAGGAAGATGCATTTTTATTGCTAGTATCGAAAATATTAAGCACAAATAAACCATGGTTACAATATCATTTTTGGTCAATACGACCTCATTATTTTCAAATGAAACCTTCACTCCAACTTTTCCTAATAACTCAATAGAAACCAAATTGGTTTAGATATTAGGAACATGCAATACATCACTCAATGCTAGAGTTTTACCAAATGTGCGTTTGAGAAGAATTTTTCGTTTCCCAGAAACACGAGTTGTTCTTGAATCACCAAGATAGCTAGTTTCTTCTCCTTTCTCAACTTGGATGTAAATGTGCCTAGTAGCACCAGAGTCTACCACTCAATTTCTCACATTGACCACATTATTTATTTGAAAAATAACCGTAATAATTATATCATCCGCTTTAGTCAAATTTAATTTTGACTTAGCGAGATTATCATTTATCCCAACTCTTCTCTTACATTGAGGTGCATTTTCTTGAAGGTTTTAATATTATCATTGGATATGTAACCATGTCTATTCACATACCTGTCTTTGGACATTAGTGTCTGCTAAAGTTGTGGATGAATAACGTATTTGCAACACCATGGTCATCTGGCAGGACAACTGGAACAGTAGCAATAGAGACAACACCAAAATTGGTAGCACCATAAAAAAATTTCCGTAGTAGTATTACTTGTCATAGTTTCTTAGATTGTAGGGAAATTACACGGGAAAATAACAACAGCTACTATATAATCCTTCGTTTCATAAAGCTTAGTATTTCGATTGAAGCATGCATTATGTGCATAGGATAAATATTTTGCATCTGGTAGAAGTAACTGAACATTAGGGACATACTTTTCTTCCAATCATTAATTTAGAACATGTAATCACTAAAATCATACTGTTCTTTTTGGAATCTCAGAGGAGTTTCGCCAAAAAACAAAACAGTGACTTATGTTGCATATTGCAGCAGCTCTGCAAGTCCTAGAATGTCTACAAACGGTTTTAGAAATTAAATTTACTTCTCCCTACCTTTTCCATCATGAAACGAAAAGACTTCTCTCCATCTGCGATGAAAGACGGACCTTTTAAACTCATTCTAAATCGCAATATATTAAAATAGCCAAAGGCTAAAAATTAAAGTGTTGTACTATCCTAATCCTAAGAGTAGTAGCATTTGTTAAATTAAAGGTTTTATCTCTCTAGACACATGAAAGCTAAAAACAATCTACTAAGCCAAGTAAAGCAGTGATAAACCACGTAAAGCAGTGATAGATACAGATGAAATAACTTATCTAGCCACAAAGTAAAACTCTGATGCACTCTGCTCCCGATCTATTCTCGCCATTAACGGGTATCATTGGCTCAAACAAATACACAAGTGAGATAAGACAACATCGTATCAGTTACATAGCATATTTCCAAAAGATAAATGCTACCAGGTGATGTAAATTTTGAACAATTACTAAAAGCACATGTCTCCTCTGTCGCACCTTCAGGAAGTCAACGACTAAAGATGGATAGAAACATTGAACACTGTACTGAACTCAACAATCCCTTCCCAACCCCCTTTTTACTACAAGTCATAACTTACAGGGCCATCTGAATTGAATATTCAACAAGAATTTCGAAGCACGACAAAGACCACAAGAATAGTTAACGCTGCAGAACATGATCCTAGTTAGTTCCAAGTTAATAGCTTAATAATGGTACGCTATCATCAGATATGAAAACGTAACAACATAACTATACCTAAAAGTGTTTATAATTTTTACTTCGTGTGATTTATATACAAGTTTAAAACTAAAGCTCTTCAGATATCACATTTACTGATTATATAGACTCCAGTGCATAAAGATTGGAGGCTATTCCAGACCTAAAATAAATTAACTAAATTAAGCGAAATAGTCTCTCTATTCTTCGGGGTAGGGGTAAGATCTGTGCACACATTACCCTCCTCAGACCCTCACCACTAGTGGAATTTCACTGGGTCGTTGTTATTGTAATGGTTCCAGCAGTTTGACCTTTTAGATGTGAAAACAACAATATTTGATCTTTTTGGAAGCTATGGGTTCGGCCGTACACTATTTGTTCTGAGAAATTCATTAAATACGTATAAATTATTAATTTAGAGCTCAGTAATGATTCTGAATCCTGAACCCATAAATTTTAAATCCTAGTTACTCAGCACAGATCAGGCAATGGGTGATCAAAACATCATATGATACATCTCCATGCAAACAATGATTTCATAAGTTCAATACCCATTTCGATCCATTTGGACCCGTTTCAGAATCAAAAAATAAAATAAAATTATAATAATAACCCAGACGATTTAAAAATTAAAATGGAAAGAATGGCGAGGATGAAAAAAGAAAGAAGAATAGTGGAGAGTGCCTACCTGTTTACCCATCTTGACAACAACGTAAGGATCACTGCTGCGGACATCGCGTACAGCAAGGTTTACACCTCTCTTGATTTTTATCCTTAAAAGACCCAAAAGGTTGTCCATTTAAGGATTTCTGGTCCTGCTTGATTTGTTCTTCCCTCCTCCAATACTGCTTTATGCTGTCTTTGTTGATCTCTCAATCTAGTCTCCCCTCTTTATATAATTAAAAAATAAAAAACTATTATAACCTACTTCTTGATTAATATTAGTACTAGTAATAATTAATTAACAGGATAAGTCAAATCTTAATTTGTTTTTATGTTTTTGCTCTTCTTCTTTTTTCCTTAACAGCTTCCCCACCAAGTGAAAATCTTCCTCTAGTGAATCTGAAAAAATGGGAAAAACAAGGAGTTATTTAAAACCAAGTACATAAATTGGAGAAAAACACCCAGAATTTAGATACTTTACGAGTATGAAACTATGAATCGAAGAAATGAATTATATTAATCCACTTCAGACAAATTAACAAAACAGATATTACAACATTAATGATAATATTTTGCACTGCATGCAATCAAATATCAGAAAATGAAATGTTACTTTTCCCCTTAGGGGTCACAAGTGGCAGATGAAGAACAAGTTCATTTCTACGCTTGTTTAATGTTGAGGCCTGCACTGCATATTTTAACATGTATGAGACAAAGGACAAATCATGTGGAAGGAACCTCTAATCCAATCCAATTTTATATAAAAAGACAAAGACAGCCCGGTGCACGAAGTATTCCGTGTTCATGCAGGATCGGGAAAGGGGCAGCTTACCCTAATGCAAGCATCGCTAGTTAATTCCACGGTTTGAACCCGTGATCTATAGGTCATACGGAGACAACTTTCCAGTTGCTCCGAGGCTTCCCTTCCAATCCAATTTTATATCCTTAATCATTTACCATTCTTTTATTGAAATTGACTCATAGATCCAATTGCAATCAGACGAAAATTTCTGATGAAAACTAAATGACTTGTGGAAGATGGAAACAATTGAAATTACATCTTCATATGTCATTAATCAAATGGTGTTTGATACTTACATTTTAGGATCTTCTTTATGGATTACGTTGCGAGCGGCTGCCTTATTATGGCCGAGAGGAAGAAATAAAAGGAAGTTGTTAAGGTAATGCCTATTGTTTATTTCTTGGGGGTCATGGAGTTACATCACATGTAAAAAAGGAAAAGGATGAAAGGCAGGGCAAGAAGTTCGAAAATATGTACATAGTTTATGGTTGTGGCTCTAATATATTATATGCCATATTGTGGGTTGATGAGTCCTTATTTCTAGTCCACTAGGCAAACGATTTTAGCGATCGATGTGTATAATACCTAGAGTTTTTTCATGATTTTTTCAATTTATAATTTTCCCGGGAGAATGAACGGTATTAATAATATTAGGCCACATAGAAGGAAAAAGGTCTAAAACCACCTTGAACAAAACTTCCTTCTAAAAGTCGATCTCTCTCGGTGTATATTAACCTAACGTGCGCATCCATGTGGAAGAGGACTCAGATTCCTGCTCAAAAGGTGATCGAAGCAAGGGACACCAGTAAACAAATCTCAGCACGACGAAGAAGCGGGAAAATCAAGGAAATCATGCAATAGTGGAGGTTAATGGCAACAATCAAAACCTAACAATGGCAACCAGTGAAGTTGAAACTGAGCAAAATCGAGGTAAGGAAAAGGCAAAGAATCAAGATTCTGCACCATGCAGAGTTGAATTACCATCACAATTGGAAATTGATAAAGCAATTGTAGAAGACATCAATGGAAAACTAATGGCGGGAAGTAATGAAACAGTGCAAAAGGTGGCAAAATCAAAAACTGTTGTACAAGAATGAGAGGAAAGGATACAGGTACAACATTCTCTAAGTAATCAATTACGAAAATACACTGGTAGGAAATCATGGGCTGACGAGGTTGAAGAAGAATTAGAAATCAGGGTTAAGCCTTCGATTTGGGAAAACTTTGACATCACTAAAGTTGCTAATGTTTGGTTTAAATTGGAGTATGTGAATCCAAGAAAGCATGGGGAAATAACAACCAGTGAAATTGAATTGGAGGATATCACATCTGAGATTGATTACTGGAAGAATGCCATAGTCTGTTGTGCTGGGAGCACATCCACCTTTCAATGTGCTTAACAGTTACATACAAAGATAGTGGGGGGAAACATGGCATCAACAAGGTCTCAATGTTGAAAAATGGAATTGTGTCGGTGAGGTTTGATACATCAGTTGGAAAAAATGAGGTGTTGCAGGGAGGGATAAACCATTTTGACAATAAACCTTTCATCGTTAAGGAATGGCACACGGATATAAAATTTACTAGGGAAGAACTCTATACTATTCCCATTTGGGTGAAACTACATGGTTTGAATTTCAAGTATTGGGGTCCTAAAGGGTTTAGCAAGATTGGGAGGATGATAGGTAAGCCTCTAATGGCTGACAGGAATACTGAAAACAAGATTGGGCTCAATTTTGCTAGACTCCTTATTGAGGCTGATATGGATTCTCCCTTACCAGATAAGGCATATTTTAGGAATGAAAAAGATTCACTTGTAGAACAGAGAATTCAGTATGACTAGAAACCTGTACTATGCAAGCATTGCCACAAATATGATCATTTAGAGGAAGAATGTAGGAGGAAGAAACAACCAACCCCCTCCCCCCCAAAGTAACATAATGTTGTTCAAGAAGTAAAATCAACTGATACCAACAACGGCCGGGCAAACAGTAATCAAAGTTTAACATCACCAAGAATTGAGAATACAATACCATGAGTTGAGAATGTGATACCAAAAACTATAACTAAAAGAGGAAAGATGAACTCAGAAGGCAGGGTAACTCCTCACAATACAAGGAAGTCACCTGAGGAGCAAGTACAGTAGTCACCAGCAGGGCATAACACTTTCCATATTCTAAAAGAGGCCGGTACTAGCACACAACCACAGAACAACCAGTTATCACATGAGGGAGGCAATGTTCTGTCAAGAGGAGATGGATAACATGCTAACCTGGAATGTTAGGGGCTTAAATGCTCCTAAAAAATAAAAGGAGGTCAAACTTATTTGTACCAATGAAAATATTGGGATAGTAAGCTTGCTAGAGACTAAGGTTAAGGCAAGAAATATGGAGAAAGTAATAAATAATATGTTTGGAGGATGACAATACCCCACGAATCTAGATCACCACTATAATGGTCGAGTGGTTATAGTGTGGAGGCCTGACTACTATCAAGTTAGGCATATAAGTGGAACTGCCCAATGCATTACATGTTTAGTTACTGATGTTGTTCTTCAAAAGAAATTTTATATGACAGCTGGGTATGTTTTCAATACTAAGAAAGATAGGAAGAGTCCGTGGCAACATCTAAAAAGTACTAGTGGAGGATTTAATATACCATGGCTGGTTATTAGGGATTTTAACTTAGTACTGCAAGCTGATGACAGAATAGGAGGGCTTCCAGTTAGTATGGGAGAAGTGGTGGATGTTCAAGCTTGTATTGATGCTTATGAACTTATAAAGTTATCATGTGGAGGATGTAGGTACACATGGAATGACAAGCATGGAGATAATAGAGTGTTCTCCAAAATTGATTGGACATTTGTCAATAGAGAATGATTGGATAACATGCTAGTGGTTCAGGCTGATTTTCTTCTAAAGGGAATCAATGATCATTGTTCACTTAAACTAAAAAAGGCAACTGGTACTTTGAAGGTAAATAAAGCCTTTAAATTCTGCAATGTATGAACTTTGCATTCCCAGTTTAAAGGGATTGTAACACAGGTGTGTCAACAACAAATAAAATGATGTAGTATATTCCAAATAGTTAAGAAGCTAAAAATTCAAAAGAAGGCTCTTAAGAAGCTCAATCAGCAACACTTTAGAAGTATTCTAGTAGAGGCTGAGGATGATAGGGCAAGCTCAAAATAGACTACATGCAGATCCTACAAGTATGGCATTATAAGAACAGGAGAAGGCCATGTACTAGAAATTTAGGAAATCTTCTTATCTAGCAGAGCTGTTTCTACAACAGAGAAGTAAAGCAAGTTGGATCAAGCTAGGAGATGACAGCACTATATACTTCTATTCAGTTATCAAACACAAGAGACTACAACAAGCAATCACTCAGATCAAGGATCAAACTGGGGTAGTACAAACTGACAGTGCGAGCATAGCAAATGTTCTTGTAGACTATTATGAAGAAATGCTAGGAAGAAGAGAAAGAAGAAGAGCAAAAGCTTTTCATAGCTTCTTAAAGAATGGATATATATTTTCTACTAAACAATAGGTAGAACTGATCCAGCCTTTCACAGACAAAGAAGTGAAACAAGCTATGTTCAGCATTGATATGAATAAGAGTCCAGGGCCAGATGGGTATGGCAGTGAATTCTATAGAGAAGCTTGGAGTATAATTGGTAAAGATGTTACTGCAGCTATACTGGAATTCATGGAGAATGGTAGATTGCTAAGACAAATCAATTCAACAGTAATATCTCTAATTCCTAAAGTGCCAGTGCCAGTGCCAGAGTATGCAAGTCAGTTCCGGCAAATATCATGTTGCAATGTTCTGTACAAATGCATCTCTAAGATGTTATGCATGAGACTAAACAAAGCTATATCAGTGCTAGTAGCAGAAAACTAGGTAGCTTTTGTAGAGGGTCAATCACTGATTCACAATGTTTAATATGCCATGACTTATTGTGACATTACAATAGGAAGACCTCTCCTAGATGCTTCATGAAAATTTATCTTAGGAAAACATATGATATGATTAATTGGGAATTTATAGAGGAAGCTTTGAAAGGTTTTGGATTTCCTGATTCTTTTATTAGTTTGGAGATGACTTGTGTTACTACCACACAATTTTCTAGCAGAGTTAATGGGGAGAGTCACGAATATTTTGAAGGGAGGAGGGGACTTAGGCAAGGGGATCCTATCTCACCCCTCCTATTTGTCCTAGTTATGGAATATCTCTCAAGGGTGCGAAGCAAGATGAGTGATCTTCTTGACTTCAGATATCACCCCCATGTGCAAGAATACAAGGCTAACACATATGGTATTTGCAGATGATCTCATGATATTCTGCAAAGGCAATCTGAAATCAGTTGCTAGAGTTATGGAGGCATTGTAGCATTTCAGTGATGTTATAGGTTTGGAGGCTAACTTGGATAACTCTAACATATTTATAGTAGGTGTGGATGATATTACAAAGCAGAATATGCCCAATATAACATGTTTCACTCTAGGAACCTTGCCTATAAGGTACTTAGGCCTTCCACTTACTTCAAGGAAGCGAAACAAGATGGATTGCAAGCAACTAATTGATAAGATCACAAACAAAATCACTACTTATACAAGGCAATTGTCATGTGCTGGGAGATTACAAATTATCATGGCAGTTTTGTTTGCAATATATGACTTCTGCAGTGTAGTGTTCATACTGCCTCAAAGTGTAGTAACGCAAGTCGATAAGAAATGCAGGGACTTCCTATGGGGTGCTACAGAGGACAAAAGGAAAATTTACCTTGTTGTATGGACATGGTATGTATTCCAAAGAAAAATGGAGGTTTAAATATCAAAGGCTACTACAAATGGAACATTGCTGTTGTTGGTAAGCTACTATGGCAATTAGCTAGAAAGAAAGATATTTTATCGGTAAAATGGATCAATAGTATCTACATAAAGGAGAAAGAGAGCATATGAGAACACACTCCAATAGAAGATTGCAGTTGGTATTGGAAGAAATTGAATTCCCTCAAAGTTCAAATGGCAGGATGGTATCAAGAAAACAAATATCTATTACCACATCAGAGAATATTCCATGTCAAGAAGCTATCAACATATGGTGGGGCCTCTACCTAAAGTAAGGGGTGGTTAAGCTAGTGTAGAGCACATTTATGCTTCCTAAACAGAGGTTCCTAGTGTGGTTGGCATGTAAAAATAAATTGCTAACCAAGGAGAGATTATAGAGACTACTGACTCATGTAGATGATCAACATTGTTATTTATGTGATCAGGCACATATGGATACACATATACATCTTTTTGGTCAATGCAAGTGGATTACAGACCTAAGAGGAAAGATGAGCAGCTGGATGGGCATCAAGATTTAGAACAGTGAAGCAAACCAGGTGATCAAGTGGATTAAAAGGAGATGATGGAGTCAAATCCAAAAGGAAATAGTTGTTGCAGTA